CGTTTTGCAACTCACACCGAAGTACTTTAAATAAAAGAAGATGCACGTGTAGCCACCAGTTTTGTGAAAACGCCTTGGCATGCACCCAAAATTTCTGTTAACTAGCAGGCAAATGAATCACCTTAGCGTCTAGGAAAAGCTTGGTTTTTCACTTAATGATTTTTCTAAGCCATTCAGCTAAAAAATGAAATTTCAAAAGGGATGATGTAATGCATTATCTCATGCTGCTATGCCGAGAGGGTTGGAAAAGCAAACATTTCGCATCGCTCGCTGCGTGTGCTTGGTCCGTTTCCTTGGTGTTCTCTTATCTGCCCATTTAAAAATAGAAGCACAATCATTTTAACGTTTAGAGTTACCTGCAGACTGTGTGCTTCACACCCAAGTTATAACTCTGAATGCAGAATATTTGTGTTACAATTTCTTTTAAACGAAGTAACACTAGTCAGACTCCTAATACTATGCAAATGTTTTCACGCTAAACCACTCAGAGTGGCTACAAAGCAGATAGGAAGCATATTGCTATAGTATGGAACTGAACAAATATAGAGGAGTTTTACATATAAAGAGGAACGTTCTTTATGACTGTTTTCAGCTGGTCTTCCAGCGGATAAAAATAACGTACCTGGGCCGCCGAGGTGCTTCAACTCTTCATACTAAACAAGAGACACAGTTCATTTTACAAGCAATGGTAAAAAGCCAGGTATTTTTTAGAAGGCTTAAGATGTCCACTTTGGGGTTTACACAGAAGGCTTGCACTTCTCATATGCGTCCCTAGCAAGTGTTTCTCTGTCGCAGATGGAAGAGATGAGGCGCCGGTTCGTAATTGGCTTCCCTTTGCTCCATCTTGGGATGCAGGGTGTTTTTTAACCGTTTCTGACACCTGCCTAGTCCCTCCAATCACGTTTACAATTAATGTCTCTAGGGCTTCCTTCCCTTCCTCTGAGTATTTTTCATGGCACGGCAGCATGTAGCAAAGCTGTATGTGTTAGAGGACGTTTAGTCTCATTAAAACGCTCTCAGAATTTGTTTTTAAGTACTGACGTATTTACCCCGAAATTGGTGCCGTTTAAGCAGTTGGGTATCTCGCCAGAACGTCTCTCGATCTCACTCTGAAAACAAAGCAAAATGCAAATAGATGTGTTACTTGTCAGAACGATTCTCAAGTACAAAGCTGATAAAGACATCAATTTGTCACAGAACTTTAGCCACCAGAAATTGGAAAGATTTATTAATCAAGGGTGAAATTCGCTCTGCCCTTCTAAGCCACAAAGCCACATTAGTTTAGCTCAGCTGTATATCATTGTAACCCAATGTAAGGTAATTCTCATCCTTACTTCTCATACTCTTCTTCCCTTAATGCCCAATCTAGGAAGAAAAAGGAATGACACGTTGTTTTTGCTACCCAAACTAAAAGATGAAGCCCTGTTTACCAACCTCACAGTAAAGCGCGCTGTTATTTTCCAACCAGATGCGTTAGAAAGACGGGTACGAATTACTCCGCTGATATCTTAATAGACTTTTCTTTCAGTTCCGCGTGTTCGGCTACGAATTATTTATGTGCCTGACTCTGCAAAATGTCATATACGGTGGTAGTTACTGCGAAACGAGGGTCTGAGACAGCTAGCCTTTCCACAGAGATTTCCCTGCAAGTTCCCACTGACTTAAAGGGAGGCTTCAGTACTTCTCCAAACAAGAATGTTTACTAGGGAAGAATTTAAGTAATCTAAACTACATTTTGAGCCCACCTAGCTTGTTTTATTAACTGTCAGTTTTATAAGCACACGCAATCAGGTTTTTCGCATTATTTTCCTTACTTGTTTTTGTATTAAAAGGGTTTTTTTAATAACAAATGTTTGCTCTTCAGTTCAGTTTCTAATTTATGAAATGTTAATGATAAAGAATTTCCTGTTGGGAAATGCTTAGGTGGCTCGGTAGATAATATACCTTTTGTTTTATATCGCAGTCTCGAGTTCTGAGGAAAAGACAACAGAACGAAAACGGCAATGAGCACAAACAGAAACACTAACAGCGAAGTCTCTGTGTACTAGAGAAACCAAAGGTGTTAAACTGATGCGCGTGATTATTCCCTGAGCAACTGCAAAAAGATGTCATACAACAAACCGCCTACACGTGTAAATACAAATGTAAAACGCACCACATTTTTAGCTTCCTATTTTCTGTCCTCAAAGCATCAGTTTCCTGGACCTGGGATAGGAAAAAAACATCGTGTTTTGAACATGAAGATCAGTATCAACTTTGTACATCCTTAACGTCAGCTTTCTCCAGGGCTGATTAAGCGTCTTGGATTTTAAAATACCTGTAACTTTGCCTTTTAGTCTCTACGTTGCACGCTGTTCTGAATTACAATGCAAAATCGATGCCGAACCAACATGGTCTCATAAAGTTAATAAACATTCTGCTTGCACTGACCGTATTTCTGCTATTGCAATGTTCATGGCTTTCCAGGTGAAAGCGAGAATACAAAAATACCTGATCATTTCAGGGTTAAGGATGGTTTTTTCTTTAAATGACAATAGACACTGAAAGGTACGAGCTACCTGATGGCAGAAATGACAGCAGCTAAGAGACGTTTGCTTACACGCGATGTATATATTGCGGAGGGTCAGTATTATACTCACTAAATCGCACTGGCAAACAAACTACAATCAAATCCAAATGCCTCGAGTTAGTCTCCGTGCTCAGACTAAAGGGAAGGATTTGAAGGCTGTTGCCTCCTGCATTATTTCAGAGACACAGCCGCTTTTTTCCTCCATCCAGGCCAAGGAATAGTGAAAAAGACACTCGGGCACCTGCTTTTCTCGATACCAAAGCAAAAGGATTGCTTTCCCTTTGTCTCGAATGTTGTAGTGTTATTTACAAACACGAGACAGCTTTGGCAAAACAAAGCCTTGCCTTAACCTGAACGTGGTGTTGCTTTAACATCCATCTTTATAGCCATTGCACGTGTTTAAAAGCCAAACGTTCCCCACTCACTTCATCGGGATATTTCTCAGCACTTGACTACAACTGCTTTTTGCGTACAGTAGCTGGGATTTCTAAATCTTATCCCACTTACTCGCTAGAAAGGTAAAAGACTGCGGCTTGTAAGGAGAGAAAATATTAGGTATATTCAGCTTAATGTAGCCAGGGAAGGTACGACACTTCTGAACAACTCCGTTACGCTATGGTATGAACAAACTTCACGTCTCATCTCATCTCCGTACACAAACTTCAATAGCCCGCGTATCGCTAGTGTTTTGTGAATGTCTCCAAGAATGCTTTCATAAATATTACTTACAGGCTGGCTGCTGTCTAAAAAGGAAAAGGTTTCACGGACAAGCCTCTTTCTCTGATCTTTATTTTTCCTATAAAATACAAAAATTTTAAGCTATATCCCCACTTCCGTAATGGCTTTTGATGTATATTAAATGTAAATCAAGCAGAACAAAAGATGAACTGGAAGCATGGAAGAGTTCCTTTGTGTCAGCTTTTATGAAAAGGTACTTACAAGATTGGCAAATAGCTTTCATTTTTCACCAGCACCTGCTCACCGTTTTCTGTATAAAAGATGCACGTTAGAGGATTACATTTTTATGACCATAATAGCCCTTTTCCAAAATTGTCACACTCAGGAATGATAACAGCAGCAGAATAAATAGCACAGAGGCCCGCTCTTCTAAAGGTTAGCGAAATAGGTATCAGCTCCAGTCACGCGAGTTATCCCATGAAGGTCAACCGCTGCGCTCCCCATCCCGAAGACGGGAGATGCAGAGGGGGAGCAGCGACACGGGAGCATCCTCCCCTCCCTCCGTCTGCCCCCCAAAACCCTGGTACCGCTGCGGGTCTTTTTAAGACATAAATGATTACAGATGCTGTTTGCTTTTGGAAGCCAAGCTGGCTGGCTGGCATAGGGCACGGACTTGAAAAACCTGCCTCGATGAAGAATTATGCAGTTCGGCAGGGATGCGGTGGCTGCGTGTCCCGCATGCAGCCGGGCCGGGTTAAATGGCCGGGGGTTTGTCCACAGGACGTGCCCGCACCTCGGCACCATCCCCGGCTTCACCTCGCCCAGGCCTAGACCTTCCCAGAACTGGGTCCCAGCTCGCTTGGGGGGTTATACTGGTGATAAATTACTGGTGAGAAAGAATCGCCCTGGTTACTTTATTATGCGCAATATCGAAATGATGTTTCAATGCGTCTTTTTTACCTTCCGTTTGCTGGAAAACAAGACCGACAGCAAGGGTGCTGAAGGGAGGGACCTACCTTCTTCTTCAAGCAGTGACACTGCGGGAAGGCGGCCTGGTAGCGGGGAGAGAGGTGGGTTTGGTGCCTGGTGGGGGGAGAGCAGAGGTGGGTTTAGCCTCAAACCGTTTTCCCCCTCCCAGGACGTTCCCACCCCCTTTCCTCAGCTCGGGTCCCCCTCAGGCCCCTGGGGAGGGGAGGGCGAAGGGATGAGACCCGGGCGGCTGAAGGATTTCCCCGGGGAGCCGGGGCTGGCGGGGGGACCGGGCCCGGCTGAGGACGCTGCCCCCCGGCTCCGCGGAGC